GTGTGTGTGTGAGAGAGAGAGAGAGAGAGAGAGAGAGAGAGAGAGAGAGAGAGAGAGAGAGAGAGAGAGAGAGAGAGTGTGTTGCTACCGTATTGCATACTGTAACGGTGCAGTCCATAACAGGAACCGACCTCTCAATACAAAGTACAAGATAGCGTAGCGGAAGACTTAGATACCAATGATCCGAACAATCAATATTGCAATGCAGCCCCGAACATACATCATCATCATCATTCCATGGTGTGAAGGGGCCTGGCGCTCACACAGAGAATGCGCCGGCCCCAACCATACACAGATGAAGAAGAGGGGGGTTAGACGAAGAAGAGGGGAAGATGGGAATGTCATCAACACCAAGTCTTCGGCACAGGCCCAAATAGGCCCTCGTCAAAATGTCTGAATCCCAATGTCAAGTCTGGATCCAATGTCGTGAAATCTCAAGTCACAACTCTCTCTCTCTCTGTAGTAGTCCGTTGATACGGAGAAGTTAGGTGGTGAGAGGGGAAGAAGAGATGGTGGACTTASAAGAGGAAGAAGAAGAACTCTCTTTCTCTCTCTCTCAGTCCGGTACTGACCTGTGAAGTTGGCGCCTTGATGTAGGTACCTCGAAGATGGAGCTGGAGCTATGGCGCCACAGGTAAGTCTCACTGGCCTCCGCCAACCATCTCTCTCCAACACTACCACTACCACCTACTAGCGCCCAGCGTTGAGGACTACTGCTATGGCTACTAGCGCCCAGCGTTGAAGACTACTGCTAGCGCTAAGCTCCTCCTGCAGCGCTCCTCCTGAGTGCTGCGGCTGAATCCTGAAGACTACTCCTGCCTTCTGTCCAACTACCTACCCGTGAAATGCATGGGAACTCCCTATGTACTACTCGGCCTGCCTCCTTACTGCAGGGCGAGGTAGTCCAGGAGGCTGCTCTTGCCAATGCCGAAGGGAGTCAAGGGCTGCCGCTGTAGCTCCTGCTTGAGGCTGTCGTGGGAACAGGCTAAAGATAGCCTGTTCCCGAAACCCTGGTTTTGTGCTTGAGTATTAGGGCATGTTGATCTTATGAGGGCCCGAAAGTGGCCCTCCGTTTCAGGCTGGAAAGACTCAGGGCTGAAAAACCCTGTTTTAGGCTGAAAACGAAATAGGGCTTGCAGACCCTCATTTACAGTTTTCACGCTGGAACGACATGGGGCCTGTAAGCCCTTATTTCTAGGCTTTTAGGCTGAGAATGTGGGACAGGCCTTGCAGGCCCGTGTGGCTACATAGTATGCCACAACCCCCCCTCCTTGAAAGACCGAGCTTACCTGCGAGGGCGAAGCTCTCTGTCTGAGAGAGGGACCACAGTCCGGGTGGGAGGGGCACGTCGTGAAGGTCCCCGAGCTTACCTTTGTCGCTCGTAGTGAGCGTAGATCAGCGATGCGGATGCTTTCAAATTTGTTCCTGAAATCCACTGAGTGTCGTCGGTATCGCATGCTTTGAATGTCACTTTGTACAGTCGAGACTTGCTGTCGTACTTGCGATCCGTGATAATGCGGTCAACTTCCTGATGACCATCCATAGAAGGAGGGTCCTGATCGCCGGTCCGGGAAGTCGTCGCTCTTAGCTGGTGTATATGTTGCCAGCTTCGAGTTGTGAAAGACTGGATGGACCATCAGATGCGGGGGGATGTTGATCACAAATGAAGGGTCATCGGGCTCATCGTCCGTGGCTGATGTTATGGGCCATGGTCCAAACCACTTGCAATGGGAAGCAGTTTGCGTGAAACATCCTGTTCCGGTGCAAACTCTTCCGCGGAGACCCAAACCAGATCACCGGTGCGGATGGGACATGGCACGTGACGCTTGTTGGCTTGTTGCTGCGTGCGGACTTGAGCCTTTTGCATGTTCGCGCGGGCTTGAGCCAGCAATTCCCTGTACTTCTGGACGGAGGCAGGAGAGCAAGCAGCGTCGATATCGGCTGGTCGTGGGAGGAGAAGGTCGTCGAAGATATCCGTCCACCGTGGTGCAACTCGAATGGAGTCACGCCGATCGCCAGGTGCACGGAAGTGTTGTAGGCGAACTCGATGTCGGGGAGGCGGTCAACCCAATCTTTCTGGTCTGGACGGATGAGCGTACAAGCATCATTTGAGCGGTTTGATGTGCCCGCTCTATTTGCCCGTCCGTCTGTGGATGCCGAGCCGAACTTAGTTTCAACTTCGTGCCGGACTCCTGCATGAGAACAGTCTAAAATGCCGACATGAAGCGAGTCTCGCGGTGGCTGACTATGTCTTCAAGTACACCGTGGCCGCAAATCCAGCCGGTGTGCAAGAGGCATGCCAGCTCGGGAGCCGTGGAGTAGTACTTGCAAGGGAGAAAACGCGCATACTTGCTCAAACGGTCCACAACCGTGAGGATGCCGTCGTGCCCGAGGCGATTGCGGGCAAATGGTCCGGTGACATCCATGGCAATGGAGAGGCCGGGTTCCCGTGGGATAGGCATCGGGCGCAGCTCGCCGTAGGGGTTGCGATTGCGGGGCTTGCTTTGTCGACAAACTTCGCAAGAGTTGCAATACCGAGTGAAATCGGTAATGAGGTCGGGTCATCGGAATCATTGTCGAAGTCGTGCATTGCGTGCGATAGTGCGGTTGACTCCGAAATGGCTTGCCTCTCGAGTGGAGGAGCAAGTACCCGTCGGCAATGCGATAGTGGCTGGCCGACAGGTAATCCGAAGATAGCTGCGCATACAACGTGGCGGAGTCCGGATCAGACTTATAGCCTCAGATGAAGTGGCGCTGGAGTTCCTCATCGAATGCGAAGGCATGATGTGTCATGGTGCAAAGATCGGGTCTTCGCGAGAGTGCATCTGCCGCGCGATTGGAGAGGCCGGGGAGATGTTTCGGTGTGAAGTCAAATTGGTCGATGAAGTACATCCATCGTCCGATCGTGCTGCTCACCGTATCCTGCGTCTTGTAGTAGGTCAATGGGTTAGTATCCGTGACCCATGTGAATCTACGACGCCCAAGGAGGAAGTGTCGCCATCGCTTGAGAGTCATCACGAATGCGAGAAGTTCCTTCTTCCATACATCATCAAGTGAATTGATGGGAGACACTTTGTGGCTGAAATACTCCACAGGGTGCCAGTCGTCGCCATCGTGTTGTTCCGAGACTGCCCCAATGCCATAGCCGAAAGCGTCAATTGTCACTCTTGTAGGCAGGGTGGGGTCATAGATGCTAAGGACGGGTGCCATGAGCATGGTCGTCTTAAGTGCTTGGAATGACCGGTGTGCGTCGTCATTGAATACGAATGGCACGTTTGGTGATTGTAATCTCGTCATAGGTGCAGCAATCCTTGAGTATCCGGTGATAAATCGCTGATAGTAACCCGCCAACCCCATGAATGAACGAACGTCCGTGGTGTTGGTGGGCTGGGTCCATACTCGGAGGGCCTCGATCTTGTCCGCAAGCAGACGGATGCCTTGCGGCGTCACATAATATCCCAAGTACTCGAGCTTCCGCCGCGCGAATTCCCATTTGTCGTGGTTCACTTTGTACTTGGCTTTTTGTAGCCGCTCCAAAACGGTGCGCAGGTGTTCCACATGCTCGTCCAAACTCCGGCTGTACATCAGGATGTCGTCGAGGTACATAACTACGAATCGATCCAGCATGTGCCAGAACTTCGTTGTCATAGCCGCTTGGAAAGTGGTCGGGGCATTCGTAAGGCCAAATGGCATAACCAGCCATTCGAAATGCCCATATCGCGTCTTAAACGCGGTCTTGTAGCAGTCCTCCTGCCGAATCTCGAGTTGGTGATATCCCGACTTGAGGTCAAGCTTGGAGAAAAACTTGGCGCCGCCCAACCGTTCGAGAAGGTCGTCGATGCGTGGAAAAGGGCCGATGTTTCTGATCGTTTGCGCGTTCAGCTAGCGATAATCGATGCACAACCGCAAATCCTTGTTCTTCTTCCGGACGAAGAGAACGGGAGCACCGTATGGCGATGAGCTAGGTCGAATCCAGCCTTTCTCTAGAAGATTATCGAGTTGTGCCTGTAGCACACTTGACTCTTCCTCGCTCATTCGGTAGATGCAACCGCGCAGAGGTACAACCCTGTCCTCGAGGATGATCTCGTGGCGGATGGGCCGATCCGGTACTACTCCATGCGGGACTTCGAACACGTCGCCGCCGTAGGCGTCGAGAAGTTCGATGATGGGTGGGTCCGAAGATGAGTCCGTTGATGAAGCGTCATGGGGCGGGAGGGCATGGAGAAAACACACCCCCATCTCCTCGATGTCGTCTCTGATGATGGAAGCTCGCATGCTTGCGGTGGACACCACGTGGCAACTGATCGAAGGGTGAGGAGGAGCTACCGTGCATGGGACTAGTACTCCGTTCCGATCACAAACGTGAACGGTGCGGTGGTAGAAGTTCATCGGGTGATCCTCGCTTCGCAGCCATGACATGCCCAAGATCATGTCGAATTTGGTGTCCAAGATATCAAAGGACACCGCCTCGCTTGCATGCGGGGCAAAGTATACGGGGACGTCATCCATGCACCCGTCGATTGACTTGTGCGTGTGACCGTCTGCCAACGTGACTTGCGTAGGCTGGGACTTCCTCCGGACGCGTGGGCCAAGGCCGGCGCGTACCATAAAGTTCTGGCTCATGTAGTTGCGAGATGCTCCGGAATCGATCAAAACGCTGCAGGTCGCCTCTCCGATCTGAATGCGTACATATAACAATGGTGCGTCGATGTCGTCGTACCGTTGTGTCTTGAACTCGTGGTCGATCTTCGCAATATAGGCGTGAAGGTCGACAACCTCTACTCCGGTGTCCATCAACGGAGTTGGTACTGCAGTGTGTAAGTCATCCCGCAATTGTGCCATGAGCATGTTCCAATTCGGTTTCGGCAATCGACCGGACCGGGGAAGGGGCATCCATTGGAAGTCCACAAACGTCGACGGGTCGAGCTCTTCAAGTCTTGACAATGTCGTTGAATCCCCAGCTATAGATGGCGGCGAAGTTGCCGACTCGGTTGCCGATGGTAGTGAAACCGTGCATGCGGTGGATTGTTGCATGTGGAGTGGTTGGTCCAACGGTGGGACCAAGTGGACAGAATAGTCCTCGTAAGTGAACCGAGGACTTGCGACATTCGCATCCTCCCCAGATGTTTAGGAGGCCGCTAGCAAGGCGGCCGAATCTGGCGGAGTGAGAGGTGGAGTCGCCTCACCTCCCGCGCAACTCAGTTTCCCGAGTTGATACGAGGACGAACATCCTCCTTGCCTTGATCAGAGCATTGGGAGGTCTTGCGCTTGGTGTTGTTGCACCAATAGCAACAGCCGTAGCGGCCATGCCACTTGTATTCTGCCTCGGTCAAGTGAAACTTGACCCATGATGCTGGCTGTCCGTTTCCGGTCGGTGATGTGGTTTTCGCCTTCCCGTTTCCTCGGGACTTGTTGTTGCTTCGCGGCTGGACAGCAGTCATCTGATCTCCCTCACGCGATGCTTGGGTGGTTGTCGGGTCTTCCACAATGTTGTCCGTGCGGACTGCAACGACATGTTGCTGACGCGGACCAAATTTACCTTTCTCCACATAGCTTGGCTGCCATGCCGACGTCTCGTCTGGAGCTACCCTATTGGTGTTGATGATCTCCCTTGCCTTGTCGATGATTTCGGCGAAGGTCGCGTATTGCTCGCGATCACCAAGTGCAAGGCTCAAAGCGTCACATGACCGCTTGTAGAACTCCCGGCGCAGGTGCGAAAATGGCAATTCGAGATCCGGTGTTGCCGCGATCTTTTGCCACTCCGTGAGCCAGTCACGTGTCATTGTGTTGCCTTGCGTCATAGCGAAGACGCGGTTGATGGCGAGCGCAGGGCATCGTCCAGGATGAACTGCTTTTTCCATAGCCGTGTTAACTCTTCCCAAGATATCTTATCTTTCAGATGTGCGACATCAACGTCGTGGACGGTTGCCAGGTGGCTCAGCCAGATCTGGCATCCGCCCTTTGAGTTGAGAAACAGCACGTCGATGTACAAGTGCTTGGGGACGAACAGTATCCGAAGTTGCGTCGTAAGACCCTCCCACCAGATGACCGGGTCTTGATGCGTGTAATCATCGAACTTCTCGATTTGGAATGTCAGCATCTTGTATTGCTGCGTGGTGTTGCCATCTTTGTTAGGCAGCTGCAGTTGCGGAACCTCGGCTTTCAAGGTGTCCAACTGGCTGCCGATGGTGGCTGGTGCAGCGAAGGTACTGATGTCGCCGAGCATTGCGACTACGTGGTTAACTCGTTCCTCCAGTTGGCGGGCAGAGGGTGCACTGCTGGACTCGCCAGCCTCCGCCCTCCGGTCTTGGTGCACTTTGCTCCAAGTCCTGTACACGGGAATCAAGTGTCCGTGTTGCATCCTCGTGCTGAGCCTTGTGGTTCCGTACGGCCCGCAGGAGGTTTGCCAGCTCGGACTGCAGGTGGTTACAAGTGTAAACCAACCTGGTCACGAGTTTGGCCATGAATTCCTTGTGGTGCTTTTCCGGTGTCGCATCATCGTGCTGCTCGGATGGTTCAAAGTGTCAAAACTTGAGCTTTTAGATGCTAGTGGCTTCATGCCACTGTAGCAGATCATGGGCTTCCTTGCGGCGTGCCTGGATATCTGTGTCTGCTTCGGCCTGAAGCCGTTGCTTCTCAGCTGTTGCCGCTGGTTCTGCCTGTATACGGACAGCCTCGGCTGCCAACTGGCGTTGTTCCTCAGCCTTGATCAGTGCAAACTGAGTCTGGAACTGCTGTTTGTACTCGACAATGGACTCGTTAGCCAGTTGGTCTGGCACACCCAGAGTTGAGCTTGTCATGGTGGCGGGGCAATGCTGATGTGGCACTGTGGCACTGCTGACGTGGCACTGTGGCTGACGTGGCACTGTTGCTGACGTGGCACTGCTGACGTGGAACCTGTGTGTCTGAAACCACGTTCAACGGGGGTTTCGAGTTGAATGGTTCAACTCCCGTTGAACTCCGTTTCAACTCCGCGTTATACCCCGTTACAACGTGGTTCAACTCGGCCGGCAGATATTTTTTTTGTAGGCAAAAAATAAGTAAAAAAAAAATAAAAAACTATAGGCGTGTAGATTTTTTTGCTCTCTACATTCCCAGATTTATATTTTTATTTTTTTAGCACTAAGATTACTTTTTAAAAATCAAAAACAAAACTAGACTCAAAACACAATTTTTTTTTCTTTTTCTTTTTTTCTTTGATTGATCAATGGACTGACAGATTGATTGATTGATTGATTGGTGGGAGATGGTTCGCCCCCCCCACCCCCACCCAATCAGACTCACACAC